TGGCAACAACACAAGCAGTCATTCTCTCTTCTTGAATAAAGAGAAGACCCAAATATGACCCCTGAGTCCCAAATCCTATTCAATCCCCTTCACCAACAGGTTCCCATCATACCTTTAAAACCCAGGCAGATGTTCTAAGAGTTTAATTTCCCTAATTCCCCATTTGCTCAACTCATAATGCCCTAGTAGTTCCCACCACTGCTTCCAAACACAGGGTCAGTGAAGTGAGACAGGACTGTGAAGAGAGTAATTATAAATGAGGTATTTAGGAAACTGATCCAATCAAACTTCATTCAACAACCTCTCAGCTCAAGAGATACCTGGAGCCAATGAACAGAAGAAAATGAGCTCCTCTGCTGCTTTGATCCCAGTTTTACTCTGCAGAAGCCATCTAACTTGAGTTAGCATTTGCTCATGAAGACTTTCTGGAAAAGGTTCCTTTTTTTCACTACTTTTGTGCAAGGACAGACACAGAATCGTAATGACACCAAAAAGTAAGCACACCCGAAGTGAGTTTCATCACCATTTTTTTCTCCTATTTCAAAAAGATTGACTTCTCTGAAATGAGAAAAAACACACTATATTGTAAACATGAACAGCGAACAAGCATCACCAGAATGGTACTGTTGTGACATTCAGAATGTCAGCAAATTAAAAATCTTCCACAGAGTAATTACATTGGTAAAGAGACTGTGTAACGTTTTGCCTGGAAATTACATCCTCTTGCAACTTAACACATTAACCAAGACAAGATAAATGATTCTTGGTCTAGCTTCTGGTGGCAAATGGGGAGTGACATGGGAGCAAAAGAGGAGATGATTACAGAACTTGAAAGATAAAAGGCAGAAAAGCAAGACAAGAAACAGACGTGAAACATTTTATCAGATATGCAAAACTAGTACCTCTTGATCAACTTGAATTCATTCTAATCACCTACTTCAGTGCAATTATAGCATAGTTTAAATTATGTGCTGGTTAAAGAAATTCCTGTGGGAGGTGATCCCTTCTCTGTGACCACAGGATATTTTACTAGGAGATGCTAGTAATGTTCTTCATTAATGGTAATGGCTACAATACAGTGAAGGAGAGGGATTACATATGAGGTATCACATTCTATGCATTCCTACACAATGTGGGAATAGTCAGATGAGCCCTGGAAGAGGAAAACTGCACTAGCTGTGACAAAGGGACCTTCTGAGAATGGGAGGACTGAAGCACTATGAAGAAGCAACCAGTAACAGCACATCTATGGCTGCAAAGGTAAGGCAGAGGCATCTGTACTCTGGTTAACCTCCATACAAGCATGTTTGGCACAAACACTTGTTAACCAAGAACAATGAATCTTTACTTTTCACTGTACCTATGCCAGTAAATGTAATTATTCAAATGCCTGCAGGAAGCAAATGCCCAGCAGGCATATGCATACTCCAATGTAATTCTCTAGCAAGTTTTGAAAAGCAGCCAAAGAACCACAAAAAAGTCTTGACTCTATACACAGTTTTCTAAATTTTCTAATATATAAATAGTTCCACTTGCCTCTACTCATGAATATTTTCATATGGTATTCTCTGAAACAGAAGAGAGTTGTAGAGTACATCTTTCATTTTTCTGGATCTCTCCAGACCTACAGAGCTCCTCTATCTCTCTCACACGGTACTAGTTCTACATATCACTATTGTGGGTTTGCGTTTTCTAAACTGAAAATGTTTAACAGTCTGTTTTTAACTTGAGTCTGGTTTTAACTTAATAGCTGTGATGGAATTTTATTGTACTTGCATTCTTGCATGCCCAAAGTGCCCAAGCCAGTGTCACATGGATAAAACTTGAAATGTCCAGTTTACACATGACCTTTGACTGTGACGATTAACTGGATGGCTGCCTGTAAACTCTTGTCCTAAATTTTCATTCCACACATTTAAAAATGATAGGAACATGAGGTGGACTTCATAGTGTCTCTGCAAAGGGCCTAAACCAATCTAATTTCAGAATATGGTAGATTCTTATTTCCCTATCCAAGTAGCAGCACAGATGTAGCATGATGGATTGATGGAGTTACTACTATAAATACCCACTTCAAAATATTATTTATTTCTGTTGTCAAAACTGGTGCCAAGCTTTGAAATAGGATGGAAGGTTAAATACTAAATGTACCTTAACTCTAGCTACTACTTTCACTTCCTTCCTTCACAGGTGTATTACAACATTTTAAAATTCAATTGTGCTGGCTATTCCTTCATGATGTATACCTTAAAATACAGAAAATTTCATGACCTGGTCATTCAAAGCAAGAATGAAGATGTGAAATTATTAGCCTCTTGTTTATCTCACTGGTACTTCCAAACTGGAGAGCATAACTAAATAGCCAATTTATTTCTCATTCAGACTGAGCCAAGAGATACATGAAATGAGGAGGCCAGCAGTAGAGATGAAACAGTAGCTTAGAGTTCCTGACTTTTTGAAATACCTTTTATTTTTATATGTTTAACAAAAATTTATATTCTCATTTAGTTTCTATGCTTACAATTACACTTTTCAGTCTCAATATACCTAAAAATAAAAGTAATTTCACATTTTGTATTTACTCATGTATATACATGCTGTGAAAATAAAAATAGTTCTTGTGTGTGATTCAAACCTGGGATTCCCCAAATAGTTGGCCTTTCATGGAAGTCCCAGCAGAACACAAAAAAGCAGAACACGAGAAAGCAGAACACAAAAGCAAGACTCAGTCTTCAAAGCTCAAAGTTTCTGAGCATGTCTCAGTGCCCAGATGGAGACGTGACAAGTGGTGCTCCTCAGGGGTCCATCCTGGCACCACCCCTGTGTGATGTCTCCAGCAGTGACACAGGCAGTGGCACTGAGTACAGCCTCAGGACATCGGCTGACAACAGCAAACTGAGTGCTGCGCACGGCACACCTGAGGGGTGGGTCGCACCCAGAGGGACCTGGACAAGCCTGAGGACTGGTTCCATGGAAACCTCATGAGGTCCTGCACCTGGACAGCTCCCAGCATCCATACAGGCTGGAAATGAGTGGATTCAGAGCAGCCCTGCCGAGAAGGAATTGGGGCTGCTCGTGGATGAGAGGCTGGGCATGAGCCAGCAATGTGCCTTTGCAGTCCAGAAAACCAAACACATCCCACACTGCATCCAAAGCAGCGTGGCCAGAAGGGTGAGGGAGGGGATTCTGCCCCTCTACTCCACTCTGGTGAGAGCCCACCTGGAGTGCTGCATACAGTTTTGGGGTCCTCAGCACAGGAAGGACATGGACCTGTTAGAGCAGGTCTAGAAGAGGGCCACAGAAATCATCAGAGGGCTGAAGCATCTCTCCTACAAAGACAGGCTGACAGCATTGAGGTTGTTCAGCTCAGAGAAAGAAGACTCTGGTGAAATCTCAGCATAGCCTTTTAGTAATGAAAGGGGGATTAAAAGAAAGATGGGGACAGACATTTTAGTAGGGTCTGTTGCAACAGGAAAAGGGGTAATGGTTTGTAGAACGAAAGAGAGTAGATTTAGAGTAGGTGTCAAAAAGCTATTTTACAGTGAAGGTGGTGATACACTGGAACAGGTTGCCGAGATAGGTGGTAGATGCCTAATCCCTGAAAACATTCAAGGCCAGGCTGGATGGGACTCTGAGCAACCTCACCTAGTGGAAGAAGTCCCCACTTACTGCAGGAGGTACGACTAGATGACCTTTAAGGTCCCTTCCAAACTAAGCTATTCTATGAATGTGTACAGTCAGTTGTCTTGGATGGTATTACCACACATCCTTACGGTAGCACCTCCATATATGTATCTTCATCTCTCACAGAAACAGCCACTGGCAGTCCACACTGGCAGGAATTACTGCAATGCCCTTAGGGCTCCAGTTCCTCCTATGAACATCCTATAAAATTGTTTTCCTGTTGGTAAAACTTTTTTTGAGGAACTGATGAGGCTTGAAGAAGTTGATTAAATCCATCTCACTACAAACTGATGCCTTGCTATACGTGTGAAGTTGGACTTCGTTGGTTTTGGCAGGAGTTTTCTGCAGATCCTAAAGAACAGATGAATACAAAAGCCTGTCTCTTTCACATTTGTTCTTTTGAACATCATTGTTTTCATAGACTGAACAATTTTTTTTCTGCTTAACTTAGACTCATTAAAAAATTGCTCCTGTGGTATCACTGTGTATATGCTACCACATAGCACCTCTGGTCAGAGTCAAAGGTGGGAATTAAGTGATCTGTTTTATTCCTTATGTAAGTATACAACTGCAAAGAAACAGGAAAGCCAGAATTGCAGATGACTGCACAGCAGCTATCTCTGCTATGCTTGATATGCAGCTTACAGGAAACAACAGAAACTTTATCATTATTCAGGCTTAGATCTCTTCCACAGTAACCTAAGTACAGGTCTACCACATGCACATATCCTGCACCAGGATTCTGATAGCTGAGCTTCTCCTTTCCATTTGATCTTCTGTTTCTGAGGAGTTCAATGTTTTATGCTGAAAATTAACCTGTTTTCTAGGAAATAAGCAACATTCTCTTTAGGAAAACTTGGGTAGGACTCATATTATTTAACATAAAGGTCTTCACTGTCTATCTGAACTAGTAACAATTGGCTTCCTTCACAGACGTTATACAGAGTGAGAAAAAAAAATCACTTCTGTGGTAAGATCTACCTGACCTATATAGATATTTAATTCTGGATATCAGGAAATGTAAGAAAAGCATTTTTCTCTCAACTGATTATCAAGACATTGTGGCATGAATAGGTCTGATTTAGATTATCTACCCTGTAGACATCTGCCCTTGATCATATGATCCCACCCCCAGGTGGCCCAAATTGGACACAGCAGACAAACAACTTTACTCATCATTTTTACATAATGACTGTGGTTAAGCAAAACTGAAATAGAAGACAGTATCTGTGGAATAAAAAAATCCAATGTTTACTGCTGTGATATGAAATCAGTGGCTTAACAATCTAAACAGAGAGAGCTTATCAAGTCCTTACCTTTGGGGATAGTAATCTGACAGCCCAGGTCACAGTCCTGCTGCAACTGATAAAAAGCCACTTCCTGCAGCCGAGCACGCTCCAGCTCTGAGAGGCTTTGAACGGGAACTGACTTCAGCCGAACACTGCGCCCTGACATGCTGTTCCAAGTGAAATCACCCTACAGGAAATCAAATGGAAAAATATGAAGCATCATATGGTATGCACAGTTTAATAAACAGAACCATCTCTTTTACTGCTAGGAAAAGCAACACAGGTTTTTCTCACCAGAAGACCATTTTCTTGGACATATCTAACCTTTGAAATATCTTTATTTTCCCTAGAACAGCATTCCTTAAAAGGGATACAGACATGCAAAACAAGAAGTCAATTCTGTCTGAAGCCATTTAATCAAGTATTGTTGCAAAAACATTAGAATTCCAGTAACAAAAAGCACAAAGCAGGGAAGGGGGGGAAAAAACATGCCCATGTCTGCTTTTCCCAGTTTGCTTTCTCTGTACAGTACTTGATTGTCACTTAATTCTTTTCCTGCACCATTGGTCAGAGAAGCAGACCTCAAAAGGTCCATGGACAACATGCATCTTATCTCCCACATCTTGCTAATCTGACTCCAGCAGACTTAGAGTTCACTGGCAGAGCCCCTTTTCCAACACATCTCATCTCCTCCTCATGATGAGGCTGTGTTTAGAATACGATCGACTGAATGACAAGATATTCCACATTTTTGAAGAGCTGCAATAACAACCTGTTTGTTAATATTTATGGAGGAAAACAGTATAAAATATGCTACATCTCTGTAAGGTACCAATTACGCTTGGAAAGCAAACCAAAAGCTTTAGCTGTTGTATATGCCACCTGTGAGAACCCATACAAAAAACTATTCTCCTAGTATTCAGCTTGGGCCAGAGCCCAATCATCACTCCAAAAGAAGAGCGAGCACAAAGACAAGCTTAAAGCCTGACAATTAACTTAAAGAAGACTTTCAGAATTCATCAAAGCATCATCAAAGAGCACAGATTAGTACAGGGAGAGAAAGAAGAATTTGTTTTTCATTCTAACCACGTTAACAAATAAACATCAATCTTGTCAGTAAGTACAACCTGATGCAGCTGCTGATAATGAAAAAACTCTGATGCACATCAGCTGGGCTGTAAGAAAGCCACCAACCTGCCTTTCATCACAGCATGGCAGACTTACAATTAATAAACTTCACTCTCATTTTCAGTTTAAATTTTAACATCTGTGCCTTCACTGCATACTAGTTTTTCCCACTGTAAACTTATGATTCATCTGTTCTGCACATTCATCTGAAGTTAAAGGATTCCCACTGACTTTAGAAATTATTGGCTGAAGCTCCTTAATATAAAAATCAGTAAAATTTGACTTTACTTAGCAGTTATGCATCTTGCTGTATGTAAACATCTTTGTGCATATTTCCATATATTTTGCCCACATATGTATATTTATATACACACATACACATACAACCTGTACATACATTTGTATTTAAACATATATATATGTATGCACACCTATGACTGTCTGAGTGTATTCACACAGAGATATGAGACAAAAGTCATTAACAAATGCGCAGCACCATTTAGCAATACAGATTAAAGGAATTACTTGTGATTCACGAAGTATGTCTGGGTTCAGCAAGGAATTCTTTGCCAGAGTAGTTTTTATAAGTCATTAGGCAATCTTTATAGATAAAGGCATTACCTCAGTGTCAACAACCGGACCTCTATATATTTAATGCATGTGTTATTGTTTTATGATCAATGTCTTTATAGTATTTATATGCACATGGGTCACATATGCTAAACTTCTGCATGTTACCCCAGTATCTGACTACTGCAATTTGTTAATTCATTTTTTTGCCTCTTCATCTCTTCTTGTTCTTCTGGTGCCTTACCAGAAGGCATCTAAATCTGACTAACCAGATTTAGTAATCTCAAACTAAAGGTTTGCATAGTGTCACAAGTCAAGTTACGTAGCTTAACTCAAGCAAAACCAAACCAGCAAGTCACATAAACCTTATTTGCAAAACTGTAAGTAAACATTTACATTTTTAAAAAAGCTATTGTCATTTATAGATAAAAGCCATCAAGAACAGCATCCACAGTCAGACAATGTATACAACAACACTAATTCCTTTCCAACCCTGATAATGCAAAAGAAACTTTACAAGCACAGAAGTATGCCATTCAATCCTCATGAACATATATAAAGTATTCTACAGTGAAAATGGTACAGACAGAGAAATATAGGTTTTTATGGTGGAGTTTAGGAGTATTTTATCTTAGCTATTTCTCCATCATGAGCATTTTCATAAACAAAAATATCACTGATATGTCTACCATAAAAAATTTGAAATCCTAACCCTTAATATTACAACAGTAATGGGAAGCAAAAATTACACACCTTAGAAAATGTTAAGGTAACAGAATACATGTCCTGCTTCCTGTAGACCACAAAAACCAAGTGCAGCATGGGACTTTTAGGAATTACCACAAATTAGGCAAAAGTTCCTTAATTGAATTCTGCATGAACACATGAATTATTCCTTCTTTTCAGATCGTTTTTCCATTGGCAGTTTTTAACCCTGGGAGTAACTCATCCTCAGCCTTATCTCTGAGGTGGCTCTGGAAGTGCAAGCAGTGAGCTGTTGTCCTGCAAAGCCCAACTCCAACATCAGCCCTGCTAGAGCAGGTGATCTCGGAGACAGGGCTTGAAAGCTGTGGTACAGCCCACACTGAGGTTCTGCTCTGGGGACTCCAGCAAAGCTCTGCACAGAGCTGGGCTGCTTTGTATGAGCAGAGCACCCAACTCAGCACTGCCTAGGCATGGAATGTCCCACCCTTCCACCCATGCAAGTGGTACGATCACAATCCCTGGAAGTATTTAAAAGATGTGCAGAGGTGGCTCGTAGGGATATGGTTTATGGTTTAGTGGTGGACTTGGCAGTGCTGGGTGTTGGACTTGATGATCTTAGTCTTTTCGGGCCTAAATGATTCTGTGTTATATTTTTGTTGTAGAAATTAAATTATTTGAAACCAACACAAAGGTAAAAGCACCTAACAAGATTATGAGACTTGTTCCTTTCAACCAGGATTTTATTTTTCCAGTTTGCAAGGTCCCCATATGTTCCTGGTGCTCACTGTAGCTAAAAACAGTCATTTTCAACATCTGCACCTTGCAATGCCACAACAGGTTGCTGAGATTAAAGAATGTGCAATCACTCTGCCCAATTGCTGTGCACCAAAGAAGACATTCCTTTTCAACACTTGATGGGTTTGATAAAATCTCTGCTAGGTCACATTAACATAGGTTTTTATTATGTTAATGGAACACATGTCTAATAAACTAAAATATTTTTGGAAAACCACATGGTAGGTAGGGCCAATGAATTCTCCTAATCTTTAAAGGCTCAAGAAGCGTTTCCTTGAAAAATTCTGTTCCATTTTGCAAATATATAACACTTATATATCACTGTCTTCTATGAGTCAAAACACAGTATTTGAGAATTTAATCTATTCAAATACTCCTATGTTTTACAAAACACAAGATAAATTAAAGGCCTCATCTTCCTCCCAAAGCACTGCACAGTTATACAAACAGCCTGTAAATTATTGCAAAATCATCCAGGCTTGGGAGAGGTCCAGAAAAGTCAAGCTCCCTTGAAGAATGGGTGCTGGAGTAATTACATCTGCCTAAAGCTATTCTGCAGTCTGTGGGGTAACCAAAGGAGGAAAAGCACAGACATGAAGAATATTTTCTGTTTCTCCATATGAGAGGCAACACTTCACCAGCCTAATTCAACATCAGCCTGACCTAGGTGGAAGCTTACAAGGAGCAGAAGATCTTTAAGCAACAAGTCAGAATGACATGTTTGTTTTCTGAAGTTCACACTGGTATGTGTTCAGACACAGTACACAGGTTGCTCTCTATTATTTAGATTATAGGACTGTAGGTCTGAATATGCTCTGCAAATGACTCCATCACCAAGCAGAAAAAAAAGGCAATGCACAAACAGAAGAGTGTAAACAGAAATACTGTTCTGGGATAAAGTGGTCAGCCTGACAGGACATAAACTGATAACTGCACAGCTGTTTTCATTGAAGAATTTTATGAAACCATAACCTAGACTAAAAGCCTTCTCTGGTTTCTTCCACAAACCAGTCATGTATTTTTCCTCTCAAGTCTGCAACTTCAGCTGCATTTTCTCTCTGGCACTCCCATTACCATCTAACATCTTTCCTCCACTCAACCGAGCAGTTCACTTAGCAGTTACCAGGTAACTACCTAAAATAACAGATGACTCAGCAAAGATGATGATGACTGGAAAACTGCCCCTTTTGTCTCTGAAGAATCTGAATCTGTCCATTTTCCCTGTACTTTTTGTCCACAGTCGTAAGCCCAATCATAAGCACATTTTTAATAATATGCAGACTGCAGCTTTTCTGATATTCTTTCAAGTATTTTTCTAATAGGTTGGATGTTTGGTAGCTCCAAAATAAACATTAAGTGGTACATCCTGACTTAAGTAACTCTGCACTTAAACTACTCTTAAGCATGTCTAAGCTATTCCTGTGTGGCTGATCTCTTTCCCTGAAGCCTCCAACAGGAAATCTTGCTGATGTCTTTTAGAAAAACCTCATTCTTCTGTCTTTCATACAATACAGAAACTGGTTGAAAACTGCATGGAATGCTGAATGTAGATGCAAATCTATGAGCAGTGATAAACCTTGACTTCTGTGGAGTTTCAAGCCTTAATGAGTCATGTGGATGGTGCACATATTGGGAAATAAGAACCTTCACACATCACAGTTTTATAAAAAAGAATTTAATGCAAGATGGAGAGTGCAATTTTTATATCTTATTGCTGTTGTAATGACTTTGGTCTGCACTCATTTAGGTGAACACCATTATCAGATTATTTGTCTACTTTTCATTAGTCTTTTGCTCAAATCCATTTGAAACCACTAAGATCAAAACCAATTATGTCTACTTTTTTCTATCCCAGCAAGATTTAGCTATGTGCTTTAGGTAGGTGTCCACTGTAAAAGTACTCGGTGGTTTTGCACAAAGATTATATTGCAAGTAGCATGGCAAATATAGGATTAGGATGTCTTAATTCTGTTTAATTACTTATTTAAG